TATGCACCTAAGATAGCACTCTCATCCACGCATGCATATCCGTGTATACGGAAAAAGAGAAATTGTGCGTTACATTCACGTAGCAAAAATATAAGTTCCCACCCCCTTGATCAGCTAGCATCTTAGCGAAGCCCAAGGTCGCTTTTAGCTCTCGTATGCAAGTCTATTTGGCACCTTTTCAGTGACGGCCATCAAAATTATCATGCAACTCGGCTTGGTAAGATTTCCCGAACTAGTATAACAGAATAGCAATTCACTACTTATGCAAGTAAGAGCGATTTTAGAGCGTTTGGTATGAGGACATCCTGCCTTTTTGAGATTCTCCTGTTTATTCCCACATCATTAATTTTGTGAGAAACGTCTTTTCTAAACTCCTTCCAACGATGTTGACGTATTTGAAGTGTGTATGTACGGCAATCAGATAAATCACGGTACTGTTGTCATCACCATTCACTCCTTCGCATAACTTCTGTTCACCAAATCACGAATACAAATTTACGTTCGGCAGCAAAAAGATGCCCAAAATAATTAGGAGTTGACACTCCTTTACTGAACTGTTATAACTTTAACATGATCAATATTACTCACTTGAATGGTTAGGCTAACACGAGGGTGCTGCAAAAGCGTGTATTCACCTGAGCTCCCGGCGCTGTGCTCCTCAGAGCCGGGTTGATCCGAGTCGGCGATCCACCGATGGTCGTTTTCGCAATATGGATGTTCGCTGTCTCAACGAGTTGTTATTCGTCAATGTGGAAAACCTCTCGATTGAGAATCTCACATATAAACGCCATGAAATATGATTTGTTTTCTTGCTGACAATGCATCCTGCAGTATTCGCTATCGTTGTTAGCTGGCACATGGAGCAACAACATTATAGAAATGGGCACTCCTTCAAGCTCGGCATGCTATATTAACGCCTCGGTTCAGCGTAGTGCCCAATGAAAATAATTTGCCGGAGGGTAGCAGACGAGTCAAGTGATCTGCACTAAGACGTCGACGATTTTCAATATTTTTCAACCCATAGGTTTCTACGAAACCTAGATAAAGTGGAAACTAGGCGAAATCGCTTTTTGACTGCAAAAAAGTGACATGTCTTAATGGGATCATGTTTCATAATCGCAATGGTATCCACGCCGATGCCACCCAACGAAATAGACTTAAGATGGAAATCCGCTTCTTTAAACAGGTGAATCCTTTAAGCAAATGTGATTGACTTGAAGTAATCACGAAATTTTCTCATTATCTGCTGAAATAATTTCTTGGTATTACAGACACTGTACCAAAACGCGCTATTTCTGTGCACGCTAACTAGTTTCCATTACATTTCTCCAACATTTGATAACAAATGGGCCATATTCTTCACCAATACATTTGTGTGGCAGCTGAGTCATGCGCTGGATGGGTAAGTGTGATACTATCCTAACATTCTATTTGCAAAATGGTGAAGATTTCGTTAGAATGTGAATGACTCCGAAAAACCAAATGAGATAGAGTGTAGCATAAAACGAAATGAAAATACACTCATTGACTCTATCCCAGCTTTGCCACCAATCGACTTTTTTCTATGAAACCTCGCGATGGAACTCTGATATATTTCCACAACCGCGTTGTCTTTTCGAAGTTTGATATTGTATATGTGTGGTTTAAGTACGTTTAAGTACGTTTCGACAGTGTCGGCTGTCTCATCAATACCACAACCCTCCACTTATAATAGCAAAAGGGGAATATGCCCAGTCCGTATCAACTGAGATCTTACCTGCTGGACCGCTCTTTTTCAGGCGATATTTTGCTGGTGTTATTATATTTAAACGTACGTTTACCACTAACACTTAATATGAAAAGTCTAAAAGGCTTAGTAACGTCTGTGGACACATATTGAAGTTCTACAACAATGTTTCCAAAAATCAGTGGAATGGAGACAACGTTCAAATATAAGATCAGCCACGAAATATCGACTGAAATAAAAGCGGTCCAACGTCTGCTATTTCACTTGACGCGGACTGTAGCATGCGCGCGTGGTACTGATGAGACGGACGAAACTGTTGAAACCACCGTATGCCACTAACAAGAAACATTAAACCTCAAAAAGGCTTCAGAAAAAGCTTGCAGAGATGTGATGAAGTTCCTTTCAACTACTCACCCGCAAGTTTTTCATTCTTGTTCATAGACCAAAGTCGTTTTTACCAAAACTTAAATTCTCAAGAATTTTTTGTGTACGGATACCACAGCTTATCAAAGATTCTGCTATTGTCGAAGAAACTGATCTGGAAAGACGAAATCACCGAAGGTACATCTTCTTGAGCTCTTCAAAACAATAGTTGCAGTAAAGATTTTTTCGTTGGGAGTCTAAATGGAAAGTACACAGCACATTTCTCTCTTCGTAGAAATTTGATCCTTGATTTTAGTTCGCAGTTAGTTTAAATGAAAAATGAATGATTCAAAAATGTTTTAGATTTAAATGTTATTTAGAACTAAGTAATTTGCAGAGTGATCGTTGTACTGTTCCACTTTCGTTTTCCTCATTTCGGTAACATAACTCTGTGGAAGAAACCGTCAACGGTAAGCCATGTAATCGTTTTCGGAATGCTGATACACACTAATTCCTTGACTATAACTTTTCTCCCTGTATCCATCCAGATTTTGTTCATTGCAGGTAGTCCACGTTCTTCCATAGGTAGATGGACAAGAAAGCAGAGAAAAAACACCTTGTGTGTGTGTGTGAACAACAGCGCCGATGTGAATAGAGAAAATGAAGAACTTGTCGTTTTCATTAGGATTTGTTCACAAATTCCTATTGCAAATCAGCCCTCATTTATCAATAAATGAAGCAGCTGCAAGCACAAAATATGCACTTATTATTGTAGTTGTCATATTTGATTCGTCTTCGTTTAAGCATTACTTGGTGGTAATGTTTATTAGGTACCGCATCTGTGATCGACACCTTTTATTACTGCTAGTCTTTGATCGCCATTAACTGCGAGTTCGTAAGGGTTTGTTAGCAGGTATATTGGTATTCAATACTAGACTTGTCAATGATTTGCTCTTTTTCGTAGCCGAAATAGGGTTACTGTAATGGAGCTCAAATCGACGGAAAATCAACGATTTTCATTAACAGCAACTTTCATCGAAAGTAACAAGTCATCGCATCAAGCAAATTTTACCTTTAGAAATTTACACAGTATTTGATTTCTTACTCGAAAACTTGTACGAGACATGTGATAATATCTGTCACATGCTTGTGATATATAAAACTCAATTGGATTAGTCAAGTTAACGTATGATCTGATTCAATCCATGTCATAATGGCAGTGGAGATATCCACCTTCGATTCATTTCTCAATTTATAATTTCTCTGAGATGGCTCTAAAACTTTACGTTTTGATAGTGGGCAAGAGCAAGAAACTTTCACAATATGTCACCGAAGTCCCGTTTGGAGTGCTGTAAAGGTAATGTGAAACAATTTGCTTAAAGCCGCACGCACTTACTTCCTAAATGCAGCGAGCTTCTTTCTTTCAGTTTTCCCAGGCGTCCTAGTTGCGACTGTTTCCAGAGAGCAAGAAAAACATGGTCATACTTCTAGAAGATGATCCGTACATAAAAACTGCTGGATCAATGGGGATGGCGAATTGCGCTAATCAGAGGACGGTGCATGATCGAGATTACGGAACTCGAAAAGAACGCACGGTCTGTCCGCGAAATTGCTCGATGTCAATGAGACCATTTGACTGATAGATCTATCCTTAGAACTGTTCTCGAAACTTCTAAAAAGGAGTTTATGGTTCTTTTATTTTATACGGCGACAAATGAAGAAACATCCCTTACTGCTGGACAATAATTTTTCATATGAAAAATAGTAATCATTCGAAAGCTTGAATTTCTGACTACTACGCTACGTGCTCCCTTCTTAAAAGGACCCTTTTATAATGCTGCAGCATTCATGATAGAATTGTTCGCGCGCTTTTACCTCCACTTGCTTGGAAGCGCGAAAGGTATATGTATGTGTAAAAAGACATTATAGTATCAGAGTCAGACGTTTTATCTGGACTGCCTCTAAAGCCGAGAAAAAAATACCAAATCAAATAGCTAAAATTGCATTCCATGTGTGAGTCTCAATAACGCTTGCTTGATCGCGGAACACCATATCAAATCTAAGCTGATGTCACATCATGAAGGGGTTTCTCGCTTTCAAGCAATAGTAGAATTAGCGTTTGTTTAGGTACACCTTTTATATTTTCTCAACCAGTCAAGTGTTGTCAATCACTTCACTTTCACTTAACACTTTATTCGATCTATGTCAAGCTTTTTTTTTTGCTTTGCGAATCCCAGTACTTCTATTATCCAAGTTGTCTCCTCGAGTTCATTGCTAAGTAGATGATTTTTCTACTTCACGAATGTCGTAGAATACTGGTCGAGCACATCTCAGGCTGGGCCATTCCGTAGAACGCTCGTTGTTGATTGCCGGAGAATGCTGCAGGGGAGCGAGGAAGATCAACTCCTCCTCGAGCCGTGTCGAGCATCACTAGCCACTAGGCCAATCAAACTGTGCAATGTGTAGATATTTATCTTGTAAATTAGGTCAGTAGCCAACAGACTACACTATAGCAATACTGAATTGTCACATCGTAAGTCATCGTATAGGACAGATATGTATTCACTCACTGTTAGCAAATTCTTATGAAGTTGAGCGCACACTGCATTCCACAGAGATTTATGCCCACAGAGGGCTTTGTCGTTTTCCCGATACAATTGATTATTTGACAAATTTATTGGTATTGAATGCTCTGCGTTGCAGATCGTTTTGATAGGGTGCGCTGTGATAGTGCAATGTTCTTTCCCTCTGAATAAAAGCAATTGATTCTGCCAGCATAATTTTCTTCTTGTTGATTACAAAATAGTAGAAAAATAACATTGGTCTTATAATTATAGTATTTTTTACGGGTTTTTACGCAGTATTGTGATGTTGCATATATACCTAGGAGAATTGAGTGGTGAACAAAAAACGGCCTCAGAAGGAAGTTGAACCTGCGTTCCATCCATACCGCGGACGCGTGCTACCACTACACCATCAAGGCACATTTGAGCCACCACCGTTCACCACCCTTAGGTATATACCTATCATCATAATACGTGGTAAAAATAAAGCAGTAAAAACACTACAATTCTGAACTGTCAGCTCAACTGGGTTTATAGGAGCGAAATCGCACACCCGATCAAACCTGTTAGAGGTTGGTGGCTGATAGCTATCATAGAGACATTGAAGAAATATCGATCTCAATGTTACATCATTGTGGAATTGAAATTTGCACACGGTGTCTGGTAATCTTTCTCTGTCGTGCAGGGACGGTCATTCCTTAATCAGCAATGAATAACCAGTGAATGACTTGACGAACTAGTTTTCGAGACCATCAGATTGTTCATAGGTTTGCGAAGCTGTAAAATGGAGTGATAAAGGGCTTTAGGAGGCTAAAAAGTGGTTTTGATGAGCTATAAACACCGTACCCACGTGCATTACAGTGTACGTGCAGTGTTATGGGACATACATGTCAGGTCTCCAACTATGTCTCCGAACTTAATCCAAAAATCCATAAATTTGTTTCTTCAACTATTCGAAAGTATTAAGTAACATTAATTGAAGTATTCTCCGTCTGCCTGGATGTAATTCTGCCAACAGTCCGGCAACAAATTAATTCCGCTTTCATAAAACTCATTATTCTTCGATGCAGACCAACCAGTTAATTCACGACTCAAATGATTGATGTCTCAAAACTTCTTCTAGTCCAACCAGTGTCCTAATGATCTGAGGAGGTGGAAATCGGACGACGACAAATTTCGCGAATACAATGGATATCCATGTACTTCCAGCCCAGATAGGTCAACTTCTCCTTTGTTTTCTTGGCAACGTGTGGCTTTGTATGGTCTTAAAACAAAATGACTTGACGACGGCGGTAACGTGGAATTGCTTGATTTTCAACGGCCTCAGATGCTGACGATATCGCTCAGCGTTGATGCTCTAATCGGCTTGCAACAAGTCCCCATGAATCGGCTCACATCGATCCCAGAAATTGATCAACATTGCTTCTGGCGAAAATCGATTTGGTCTCGGTGTTGGTGTTTCTTGTTGGCCTGGTGACAACCACTGATCTGGACGACGCTAGCTCTTGAAGAAGATCCACTTCTCATCAACGGTGACAATTCTGTTCAAAAAGAAAGAGCGGCGATGACGACGAACATCAGTTTGCACAATTTGCTTTCTCTTGTTCTTTTGAATTTGTGTAAGATCGTGCGAAATCCAATTTACCTTGTGCCATTTTTTGGCCTGCTCTCAAAATCTTCCGGATTTGCTCTCTGAACACTGGAAATCATCGGTCAAATCACCGGTTCAAAAAGTCAGACCTTTTGCAATCGCTTCAATGATTGCTTCTCGACCAATTTAACGTGGTCTTCCGAATCTTGGTTGATCGGCCAAATGAGTATGTCCATTGTGAAACTTTGTAAGCCATGCATGCGCCGTAGTTTTACCCACAATTTGGTGGCCTTTTACACAATTGATGCAGTTTGCTAATTACAGTTTGAAACCTGTGCCCAAATTGAAACTCTTAAAGCAGTAAGTTGCGAATGACTTTCGTGACGCCTCCATTGGTGGACAGGTATGTGCAAAAATATACGAAACGATACGCAAGAAAATTCTGCACAAAATAGGGCTAACAAAAAATTATTTTCATGAAAAAGTTCTTAATTTCTGGATCAAGTTTGGAAGCTTGATTGGAGAACTAATATAAAGGTACCTCGATTATTGAAAACGGGTTTTCGAGAAGGCATTTTTGCTGGACAAAGACTTTCTACTAATGTTATTAAAATTTCGGAGGCTAAAATATCGATAATTTAGACGAATATTTGTTTCCAAAAACCCTTTTAACAGCTATGTTGCAGTCAAAATAAAATTGGATTTCACACGAGTCTCATGTTATCGCGGTAATTTCGCCGGACACAGCTTTTGGATAAAAATCCGTGCTACTAGTAATCATTCGATAGCATAAATCCGGGCAATCTCAACGCTATGTTTGTTTTGAAAAAAGCTATTTCGATGCGCTGTAGCAGAGTTAATGAAGTTGAACTTCGATCACATTTGATTTTTGCAAGATAGAGCTCTTTCCTTAGAATGTTAGTAACCATTCGATAGCCTAAATGTCACCAATTTTGAAGTATGTTTGCTGTCTAGAAAAATTTCCTAATGCGCTGCAATAGGAAAATCAAAGTTGTGTTTCATTTATGCATATTATCCCGCAAGACTGAGCTCTCCCTCAAAATGTTAGCAAGTATGCATATATATGTATATATATGCATATATATATGTCTATATATATATATATATATATATGTATATATATATATATATATGGCCATGAGTGAAACCACAAAGCAAGATACCAGAAGTATCTTGAAATTGAGCTCAAACTCTTTAGCTTTATAATGTTCAGAGCTTCAGAAAATTCGACTTGACCACTATTTTACGACAGTCATGAAAGAGACAAATACTATAAGAAGCATTTGAAGCAACACATGAAATGTTTGAGAACGTCTGTGGAGATTTGATCCAAGGAAACGAATTGAGTGTAAGTGTTGGAATTCTTGAAGGAACTGAGGATGGCGAGTCATTTATGTGCGGCCTGAAATTAATTTTATCTATACGATAAAGTGCATACAGCTTTTTGTTAGGTATTCTCATAATTTTTAGCAATAGAGCAATAAACACCAGATTTATCAACCAGAAGAAATCAAAATGGTTCAACAACGATGTGCGAACTATGCGTCATCAGTCTGAACTCATTTCTGCCATCTCTTAGGCAAAAGATCAATTCCGCGTCATAGAACTCGTCATTCTTTGAATTAAAGGAAGTTGTCAATCCTCGACGCAAATCATTGATGTCTTAGAGCTTCTTTTTTCTCAAAAAGTGCTCCAGTCTTTTCGGCTGGCAGCAAGTCCCAGTGAGCCAGCCCGGTCCGGTCCTAAATGATGCTAAATATAGCCTTTGGCGCGAATTGATCACGCTGACGGCCTTGAACAGAAACAGAGTGTAAAGATGACACGCAGCAGTTTCTGAGCAACGTTCTTTCGTTTAAGAATTTTAACTCCTGCTACTATTGCAAGAAGAAGAATCGAATGAAAGATGTACTGGAGTCCGCACATTTTGTAAGCGGCCCTTTCAATTATCCAAATTTTCAAGCAATTTCCTTTGACTTAAAACTTTAGTGTTTACTACTGTTGTGCCATAACATACTATAAGATCTAATAGCATGCAAGCAACATCGGGTTCCATGTTGCATCACTGTTGATTGAAATTAAAGAAAAGTATTTTGGTTGTCTTTCGCTATGGTTCGCACTCGGTAATTCATTATTTAGCAATGAGCAATCGTTAAAAGGACAGCGAAATAGCATTTGAGATAATCGGCCTTTTGTTCCACTTACAAATTGGCAGTGGAGGGCCAGAATAGAGTCGAAGGGCTTGAAAAGCGGCTTTGATGAGCTAATGGACTGCAGAAATAATAAGACCCTTTGCGCTGAATTGAGGAATTTGCCATGCATTCGACCCTAAAAGCATCGTTAGAGCTGATTGGATACACATCTTGCTTTTGCAATGACTTACGGTCTGCTGATGTATGAAGTCAATGCTGCTATCCTACCAGACCTCTGGTAACAATATGCATATATGCCATCATTTTGAGCCACGCATGTTATGTAGTCTGTTAAAATGGGCTGACTTATGGAGCCTGATACACGTGTTCTCGTTAGTCGAGCAGTTACCCTTTCGCCTTTTGCCAATCCTCTGTGGGTGCTCCAGTCCCCACACTAAGGGTTAGCGACGACGAACATCATACACTCTATGTCCAGTGAAATTGCCACCGAACACACAGTGTTGTACACTCGATTCGCTCTTGGGTAGTGTAGTTAATATATCAAATCTTTTGTTTCGAGTGTTTTCTTAAGACCACAGCTCAAATTTTTAATATGCCAAGTAATTATTTTGAGCTACGCATGTCATGTGGTGCGTTGAAATGGGCTGACTTATAGAGCCTGATACACGTGTTTTGACCTTAAGTCTCGTCAGTCGAGCAGCTACCCTTTCGCCTTTTGCCAATCCTCTGTGGGTGCTGAAAGAATAACTGCCCAACTGACGAGACCGTCAAGGTTGAAACACGTGTATCAGGCTTTATAAGTCAGCCCATTTTAACAGACCACATGACATGCGTGGCTCAAAAATGATTATCTGGCATACTGATATCTAAGCTTTGGTCTTAAGAAAACACTAGAAGCGAAAAAGTATGCTTACGTATACATATTGCCTAGGTTTGGCTGTTTTCAGACTACCAACGAAGTTTGACTAGACTAACACTGCATGACATGCATGAAGATGACGAAATTTTTAAACAACGGTAGAGACAACAAGTCAGATATCTGAAGGTTTTGACGGAGGATGACTGCAAGGAAGCGAATCGAATACGGGAAATACTGGAATTTGCACAGTAATCTACATAATACATAGAACTGTCTGTAACGTTGTATTTACACGACGTGTCATCAATAAGTTTATTTTTCTATGTTTACTTACTTTATTCACTGCTATGTTTGTTCATGGAATGAATGAATATCCTTATTTTCATGGCACCGGAGAACTAGTAATTAGAGATATCGTATAGTACGCAATTGGCCGGTAGGTCGCTTCTGCCCGTTTTAACTCAGTATGTTATACTTCTGAAATCAGGGAATTGATGAAGAACTCTGAGCGGATAGTACTCCCCAACCCGAAAGATTGGTTATTGCCCGTGATGGAGACTGGAGACGATCTAGTTAAGTTATCCTAATATGAAACTGGATGGCATGTGGATGACTATGGAATGGTTCCGAGGAAAGTGAATGTGTTTTCTGAAAAAATTACCTATACATTAGGTTGAAGCGTTTGTAACTTTGTAAGACACGTGTATTCAAAGATGAAAACAGTTTCTTAATCGCGAAATATGTTTCGCTGAAAGGGTTGTGGTCGAGGCAGACCATCATTCTGGTCAATGACTGTGG